TAATGCACAATTGTACGGTTGAGATATATAAGCATTATATTAAAATCATCGAGAGCATGAGAGATAATACAATAATACAGTCAGGCATGATACATAGCAACATTGCTCACCTCAGCCCAGCTTGGTGGTCCACGTGGAGAGGGGGTTGGGAAGGAGGGAAAGGGAACAAGGGAGAGGGGAGTGACCAGGGAGTGAGCAGCAAGGAGCTCAGGGTCAGAGAGAGAAGTTCCGCTGACTCACACCTATATACCTTTTGGGGGCAATCCAGTCCACTAATTACAGGTAAAGACATATGTCACAGGAAGGGGCTGCACTATAGGTTACACAGCAACGAGTGGGTGGTCTAGGGGCTGGTCTCTGGGTCTCCATAGGAACATTATCAGTAGGGTGCAAACCCCTCCTACAGGAGCCTGTCCATTGTCCCCAGAGGCAGGGAGCAGGCCCACCCCTGTGGAGGGATGAGACAGCAGTCTGGCAACTGATTCCCTCTGGGGAGGGAATGCCTGCGCATCTGACTTCCTCCCACAGATAATCAACACATAACCACACACTCCCCACTCCAGGGGAACGAACAACAGAAACCATGGGGGAAGGGAGACAGCTGTCGGTGTAAGATATGAAAATAATAATTTATAATTTATCAAGGAGTCACGAGAGTGGGGGGGAGGGAAAAAGAGGAGCTGATACCAAGGGCTCAATAGAAAGTAAATGCCGAGAAAATAATGATGCCAATGTATGTATAAATATGCCTTATATAATTGATTTATGGATTGTTATAAGAATTGTAAGAGCCCCCAATAAAATGATCTTTTAATAAATAAATAAATATGTAAATAACAGTATGGTTTTCACATGTGAATGTGTGTAACTGTGTTTTTAAGCATAATAAAGATAGCTCATACATTTCTCTTAAAAGCGAAAAAGATTTTCATATAAATTGAATTATGAATTTGATAGAGGTTTGATATTGTGATTACTATAATTCTTAGGTAATTTAAATTTAGTATGGACAGTTCTTATAAACATAAGGTAAAACAACCTGATTCTTTAATCTGATTTCAATATCCTTCAAAAATGAATTATTTTTCTAATCAGCTGCAGCACTGAAGACAAAATAAAATCTAGATGAACAATCATATGCAAATACATATTTGCATTAAATTTTTCATTTATATTTGCATAATGGCAAGGAACTTAGTTTAGATACCTTCCAAATGAATTAACTTATTTGCAAATGAGGAAACGACAAGTTAACCTGCTTGCGAAGGTCACAAAACCAGCAAGTTGTCTGACCTTAGTCTAGGACCCCTTATGCCTCCAGTCCCTTACGTTTTCTACTATAACATGGCGCCCTACTGTTTCTTGCAAAAGGAATATTTGGTCATTTATAAATTTCTAAAGCAGGGCTTCCAATGCTAGTACTATTGGCATGTTGGAGCAGATAAGTCTTCGTGGTGGGGATTTTGTTGTGCATTGTGAATGTTCAGCAGCATCATTACATTTTGTCCACTAAATGCCCACCAGTAATACTGCATGTTCCTCTGAGATGTAGTCAATTAATAGGGCCTTCTTGCCATGATCCCTTATGTGACGTACAGTAAATTCTTGCCTCTGTGCCTGTGGCTATAATCCCATTTTGGAGGGCTCTCTCTGCTTTGCTAATAGAATTCAGGTGGGATTAATTCTCCACCTTAGTAGAACGTATGAACCACACCTCTATCAAAGCCATTTCTCTGTGTTTAAGAGGCATCTCAGAAGCAGAGAAACCCCAGAGCCATTGGGAGAAGAGCTACCAGTGGAGCACATTGGACATTTCAGTGTGAAGAGGGGGAGGATGAGATCCGAGACCATGGGACAGAACAAAGGGAACAGGCTGAGACCAGAGGCTGAGACAAGGAGACCCTGAGACAGACCAGAAGAGCAGCACTGAGACCGTGAGACTAGGAGATTGAGCAACAGGTGTGCTTTCTGGCCTAAAGTGGCAGAGGCCAAGGAACCAGGTGGCTGGGAGGCTATACACCAGAAAGACTTAGCTGAGGTCTGAAGAGAGGTGTTGCTGTGGACAATGGCTATCCTTAATGTGTTCTGACCCTGCCTTGTGGTAAATTATAACTTCCCTAATAAACCCCTATAATTGTGAGGATTGTCTGAGTCATGTGTGGCCATTGCAATGGATTATAGAACCCAGCAGAGAGGCGGAGTGTCGTCAGAGGCAAGACTGGTGTCAGAAGACAGTGACGAGAGATGGAGGGCGAGGGCATGTCTGATTTCTGCCTCTTGGCAGCCACGAAGTCAGAGCGGGTCAGCGATGTCCTTTCCCTGTGTCATTCTTGCTCACCCTCGGTGTGCTAAACATTCTGCAGGGCACAGGGAGTAGTTCCCGCCCAGACTGTGAAAACCAAAAATGTACCCATTGTCAAATGTGCTCTGGGGTCTGGGGTCCAGATGAGCACCGATGGAGAACCACAGATCTAAGGTTTTCTGTGTCCCCTGAATGCTGTGACTTTTGCCGAAGAGAAAGAATCCAGGAAATGTAGACTTCTCCAGAACATTCTACGTTTCAGCTTTAGTGTCTCTAATCGCACGTCTATATGCCTCCTTCACTTGTCATGATACTCTCGTTCCTGTTTGCTTTCTGGCCTTCCCGTGCACCGCTTTTTATCAGCGGATCCTGGGTGGTGTATCGCGGAACTTCATGTCCCAGACCCTCCCTCTTGCTTGCTGGCTATTACGTGGATTCAGTCCCCAGCAGTGAGCAAGAGAGAGGCAACCAGGGCTCTTCTCTCTCTCTCTTTCTGGTCCTCTGCTGCGTCCCATCCTTGGCTTCTAGTCCCATAGACAGGCGGTCTGTTTCCTGCAGTGCCTGCCACGGTCTTCTAACCAAGGAGCTCTGGCAGGATTTTCTCTGCCCTGTTAGTCCTGAGGTAAGGAGCCCTGGTGGTGGAGCAGTTGCACTTTGAGCTGCGATCCACAAGGTCTGTAGTTTGAAATCAACAGCCCATTCTGTGGGCTTCTGTCAGCAGTGACAGCCTCAGAAATCCACAGGGGCAGTTCTATCCTGTCCTATGGGGTCACGAGAGTTGTCATCAACTCCATGGAGGTGAGTTTGGCTTGCTTGTTTCATCCTACGGGTGACAGAATAGCCGACTGTTGCTAATCTAGTCTATCTTCTTATCCACTGTGTAGCTATGTATTTCTTCAGTTCCCTGTATTACATTCTCATTGGAAATAACCCGTTTCTGTTTATCTGCAAATGCTGATTGGCACCAAATCTTTATTCCATTGATATCATGTAATATTTATTGAGCCCAAAAGATATATCTTAAAATATACAAAGAGTACTTCCTTATGATTTCCATATCTCTTTCTATTAATACTGTGAGGTAGGGCAAAAGATATGCCATAAAGATTATAGGTTTTGAGTCCCACTGAATCACAACTTCTCTACTTTTGATCTATGTGGTCTAAAGAAAGTCAGCTAATCTCTCTATACCTTCGTTCATTCAACTTTAAAATGTGTCTAATAACAGTACTAATATAACAAGATTTTTATAGATTAAGGAGCTACGATATATAAAATACCTAGAAATATTTTAATAAGTACAATTGGTAAACATTCCAATAGTAAGCACTTCATACATGTGCTTCATCCATCAATTTCATTGTTGTTGTTGGGTGCCATCAAGTCGGTTCTGACCCATAACGACCCTACACACAGCAGAACGAAGCACTGCATGATCCTGCACCGTCTTCAGAACTGTTCCTATGTCTGAGCCCATTGATGTAGCCAGGGTGTCAATCCATGTCATTGAGGGCCTTCCTTCCACCACTTGTCTGTCTTTGTCATAATGTGGTGGCTTGTGTGCTGTGGGGACACTGGAGGCCATATCACTGGTATTTCAAATGCCAGCAGGGTCCCCCACAGTGAACAGGCCTCAGTAGGACTTCCAGCCAAGACAAGGAAGAAGGACTCTGCTTTGCGCTTGGCAGAAGGAACCACTGTAAACCTTACACCTAGCTTCAAATCCATTCATTTTAACTACCAGTATTAGCTAGTAAGTAGCCATTAACTTTAGCTATCATACCATTTTTATGTACCAAATACTATGATACATATTTTGGATCAAGACAAATAAGAAATACAAGTATATGCCCCATGACAAAGCAATTTGACTCCTGTATTTATACCAAGAAACAAGTGTATATATGCAACAAAAGACATGTACAGGAATGTTGATAGCAGTTTTATTAATAATAGTTACAAATATGAAACTATCTAAACATTAATCATTAGGAGATGGGGAAGTATAGTAAAATATATTAATGCACAGTGGAATGTTACATAAAACTACTAGTACATGCACCAATACAATTCTTAAAGACAAAATATTGAGCAAAAGAAAATAGGCACATAAAAGTGATGCTGTATTATTTCATTTTTTTAGAGTATTGGAACAGGCAAAGGATGCTATGGTGACAGAAGGCAGAAGAGATGCTGCCTTTGGAGAGGTTTGTGGTAGGAGGGGCAGTGGTAGGAGGTCTGTGGTAGGAGGGGTGTTGGTAGATAGTAATCAGCTCTTGGAAACAATAACCAAATAGAACCCTCATGTGGTAGTTACATAATTTCATGTCAACTTGATAGAAAGAGCTGTGGGGATGGAGTCTTGTCTTTCAATCAGGTCACTGGCTAATGATTTCTCCATGTGGGTGTGGCCTTCTCCTAAGGAGGGTCCTGGGGACCTCTTCTTGTCTCTCTGCCTTCACCTTCCTGCCGGCTAGTGATGCTGAGACCTGCTCGAGCCCTGAAGATGCACCAATCGTGATTGCATCCACAAGATTTTGCACCCACCAGTCTGCGGCCTTCCTGCATCATTACAAGTTGCTTCATGAGTCTGAAGAGGGAGTTATGGACTACACTGGGATTTATGGGCTAGTATCAGAATTATGGACTTGAGGTGGACTGGGCTGGAATGTTTTTCTTATATACAATTGCTTCTTGATATAAAGCTCTTTCTTATACATGCACATATACTTATACAAATGAGTCCCTCTGGATTTGTTTCTCTAGTCACCCACCTAACACACCTGGTTTTATAAAATTTGCCAATTTCTACTGTGTGGTGGATTTCAAACTACCAGTGTGATGTCACTGGTGTACATGTGACCTGCCAGGGCAGTGCAAGCCAACTCCAGCACATCACAAGGGAAGGGTGTGAAGGAGGCTTCTGGGGGCTGGAAATGTCCTGCATTTTCATCTGGCCGTGGCTGTATGGATGTAGATAGACATAGTCACAGAGTTATACCCTTAAGGTTTGTTCACTTTACTATATGTGTGTTAGACCCGAACACGAGGTAAAATTTTTAAAAGTCTACGAGAACTACAATGATAAAAGAAAGGACAATTGTTATATGGCAAAAGAAGACCGAAAAGGTACCAGAAAGCCAATGGGTAGGAGGTGGGCCCTCTGGTCTACTTGTCCCCACCATAAATATGGAGCAGATGAGAGATGACGTTGGGGGTCACTTGTGTACAACAAAGAGATGATGGCTCTTTGGACTGGGCCACTCACAGTTACTCAGCTTCAGACTTCCTTTATCTCATCCCCAGCGATTGATACATAGAAAAGAGTATTGCTTCTGGAAAAGGTCATGGTAACTAACGATAGCTCTGTCACCTGGAGATGAAGATTGCGCCGCTGGATGGCTCCAGTGGAATGTTTTAAGCATAGTACCACCTAGACACAATGATTGGACATGAAAAGGAGCCAATGTAAACAATGCTGTTTTTATTTTGAGTAAAGATGCTTATAATTTCATATGATTTTCTTTACGTCACTTAAATTTTAAATATGCTTGATATACCTGGAAGATACCTGTGGTCTGGCTAAATGAGATATTTTAATAGTGCAATTACTACCTATATTCACAGCATTCATATCCTTAAAATTACAAACCCAGGCAACATTTAAGGAGGTCTTCCTAGGGATATGATGAGGCGTCCAGATTCATTTTCCCCCGATCTGGCGGACCAAGACCATGGAAAATATCATACCAAGTACCTAAAAAGTAAAATAAGAAGATTAACAGGAAAAATAAAATAAGTTATAGATTCTGCTACTGACAGATTCTAATCTTCTTTATCTAAGTCATCTCTCTCATGAAATTTGAGACCCTAATGGGACTAAAGAGTATTGAGAATGTTCTCTGAATTTTTTGTGTGTTTTTTTAATCATGGTTTTCAACTGACCAATCAGCTTTTGACTGGCCCTATTTGATTATAAGAGATCAGCTGTCCCTGAAGCACCCCACCCACCTTCTTCAGTGCTTCAGGGATGCATCTGCCCAGTAGCGCAGGGGAAATCAGTCTTTTGAGGGTTAAGTGCACCTGCCTGTTTATACCTTACCTAGGTTATAGACACATCTGCATATAAATCAAGGAGTCTAGAATTTCTCCTGCCACAGTTCAGGCAGTACCAAGAAGAAATATATATCTGCTCCTGTTTCAGTTTTGTTTGTTTTTTTTAAGTAAAATCAAAACTTATAAATCTGCTCAAGAATTTGGTTTGAAGTAAAAAGGCACAGGTAAAATCTGGAGCATAATGTTCGTCTCCTTATATAGCTATCCCAAGAATAAGAGACACCACTGCCCCGCCCCCCATTTGCCCTACTTGGCTTGGCTGTTGGTGGTGTGCATGCTGTGGCTTTGATCTAGCAATGACAGAAGGGACCAGTGGTGATAGTAACTGGAAGACTCTCCCCTGTCACGGGAGGAGGGTAGGGTCCCATCTATGTGGGGTCCTCTCAAGGCCTTCAAGTCTACTGAGACTGCCTACTAATGCAGTCCTGGAAATCCATCTCAAAGAAGAGCAGCTGCCCAAGAGGGTTCCTTCTTCAAAATAACAAGGGACCAATTTTCTAAAAAGGGACACATTTTTCACATGGATGTTCTTAAAGTCGGTCGTAAAAATGTCTTTTTGCTTTAATCCTAAGTCTTAAAGTTGAGGGACAATTATCAGGAAAGAAAAAAATGGCCAAAATAATGAGATCCAGACACTATCTATTTCCACCTTCTGAAATAGAAGCCCACCCCTTATCAGCATTATTAACCCGCTTTCTTGCATTTCACTGCCTCTGAAGAGAACTTATCATTACTTAGAAAAATGGCAAATAATTAGGACAACCTCCATATTATAATGTTAGGACTCGTGATGCTTAAACGTGACTACTGGTTCCCACATTCTGTCACAGTCTTCCAAAAATTCTAAAGTTATCATTTTCTCTCTGCTTTATTCCTGGACCTCCTGTCCCACCCGAGTGATGGGTTTACTCTACAAAGTAATGAGAATCAACATTAATGACTTATTTTGTTAGAGAGGAGAACAAGTGCTTGTGTGAGTGAGTGTGAGTGTGAGTGTGTGTGTGTGTGTGTGCACGTGTGCGCGCTGCTACAAGGAGTTTTGATGGACTATTTACTTAACTCCAAATAATGAGAATGCTGGAAATGACTATAGAGAAAATATTCTTATAAAGTAAACCATTGGGTCTCGGGGAGGAGGCAAGCCAGTCAGGGTGCGATGTAGCAACAATGAAAAATACAACTTTCCTCTAGTTCCTAAATGTTTCCTCCCCGCTCCCACTATCATGACAGGAATTCTACCTTGCAAGTCTGGCTAGAACAGAGGATGTACACTGGTACAGATAGGAACTAGAAACACAGGGAATCCAGGGCGGATGAGCCCTACAGGACCAGTGGTGTGAGTGGCAATACTGGGAGGGTGGAGAGAGAGTGGGTTGGAAAGAGGAAACGGATTACAAGGAACTATATGTGACCTCCTCCCTGGGGGATGGACAACCGAAAAGTGGGTGAAGGGAGACGTCGGACAGGGCAAGATATGACAAAATAGCAATTTATAAATTATCAAGAGCTCATGAGGGAGAGGGGACCAGGAAGGGAGGGGAAAATGAGGACCTAATGCCAGGGGCTTAAGTGGAGAGGAAATGTTTTGAGAATGATGAGGGCAATGAATGTACAAATGCGCTTTACCCAATAAATGTATGTATGGATTGTGATGAGTCGTATGAGCCCTAATAAAATGATTAAAAAAAATAAAGTAAACCATTTTGCACATATGAAATACATCCTATCTGAGAAGACCCCTCAGGCTTGCAGGCTTCAACAGAGCCTTGAAAAGAGATACTCGTCCCCCGCATCAAGGTGTAGACTCAGGCGCTCAATGGCATTAGCATTTGTCTTCCAATGACATTCCCTGTGGAGATGGACTGGGTGCATGTGTTCACAAGAAGACATCTGCTCTGCTTGCTTTGGAAGCATTGACTAGGGAGTGTGTTCTTCATATTTCCTTGATCTTTGGAAGCAGAGAAGGAAAACATGGCAGAGTCTTAGGAAAGTAGTGTTGATGACGTTGTGTGACATTGAGTCACACCGCACTCATAGAGACCGTACAGGGCAGAGTCGAACTGCCTACAGCATTTCCAGAGTTGCAATCTTCGTGAAGGGTGGCAAGCTGGTTAGTGCCGGAGGGACGACTACCTCATTCTCCGGGAAGGATGAGCTAGGCTTGCCTTGGGCTTTCTGGCTCCTTACTAACCGTCACTTGTGCCACATAAGGCCAGAGAGGAATTTAATGTTTCTGAATGGTCATGTATGTCACTGGCGGAATTTTCCAGCCAGTCATAAGAAAAAGGAGAATCACAACAAACAAGATTGTTGAAAACTGATTCCCTCTGGATCAAGTGAATCAGTCCTGATATGAAACATCCCCCCATGGAGTGCCTAGTGAGTCCATGCCACCCACCTTTACTCTAGCAGCCAAGCACTGAATCACTGCGCATCTGGAGCTATGTCTAGTAGCTATGCAGGCTCTACCTTTGTGTAGCTTGATTATCAGAAGATTATTTCAAAGCTTCCTTTTGAACAAAAGGGAAGTGAATCAAGTTTTCTTTTTTCCAGTTCCTATGGAGTGAGTAGGAATTAAGCAAAATTTCAAGCAGTTTTGAGTCACCTACTTACCGTATCCACAGATAGTCTAGAAATCGCACGTCACTAATAAACCTGGCACAGTGGGTACACATTCCCTGCAGCATGTGCATGTCTGGTGCATTTACAAAGGTATCATTGTATATGCATGCTCACCTCCATGGACATTCACTCCTTTTTCTAAATTAGCATATACCCGAGCACAAAGCAGAGGGGAAGGGGCATTTTACAAAAGGCAGAATCAAGAGAAACAGACCTGTAGAAACACCATTTGTCTTAGATCAGATCTCAGGCATAAAGAAAGACAACCAAAAAAAAAAAAGAAAGACAACCATACTAGTAGGAGATGTTTCATATCAGGGCCGATTCCATTGATCCAAGGGAATCAGTATTCAACAATCTTGTTTGTTGTGATTCTCCTTTTTCTTATGACTGGCTGGAAAATTCCGCCAGTGACATACATGACCATTCAGAAACGTTAAATTCCTCTCTGGCCTTATGTGGCACAAGTGACGGTTAGTAAGGAGCCAGAAAGCCCAAGGCAAGCCTAGCTCATCCTTCCCGGAGAATGAGGCAGTCGTCCCTCTGGCACTAACCAGCTCCCGAGGCAATCCCAGGAAGGCAGTGCACATCATCAGCCAAAACTAATGTCCTAAAATGAGACTGTGAGCAAAATTACCCCCTTGATATCTGAATTACACCTCGGAGGATTTCAAAGGTGCCTCTCTGAAACAAATGTGTTTAATTTCCTGGGTAGAGATGTTTAGGCCATAAGAAAAAAGACTCTGGGTTGTAAAAGCCCCTAAGATTAAAAGAAAAGAAAAGAAAAACCCTAGAGAAGATTTGTTTTTCAACATGAAGAATCAAATTGAGAGTAATTAGTCTCAAACAGATCCTCTTTGAAAACTTTTCCAAACGCACCGGCCTAGCTTCCGCTGAGCAAACGAAGAAGCCCGACAAGTGCCGCGATGGACTCCATGGTAGCGGCTGGGTCTTTAGCTTGTCCAGCTTCGATCACAGCTCAGCTTTTGTTTGTTTCAGAATCAGGAAGAGAGCTTAGAAATTGTAACATATTTTGCATTTTTAAAAGTGTGTTTTCTTATAATTTCAGGAAACTGTACCTCTTGTGCTGATGTGTGGGGAAAAGTTATCTGGGCATAAGAATTGCGTGGAAATTAGAAGGAATTCTATATCCATCCCAGGAGAGAAGGCAAGCCAACCTAATACCATGCGCCCCACGCCGTTGATAGCGCTGTGAATGCTTTCCCAGATTCATTCTGACTTTGGGTCCTAGTGCCCCAGCGATTTTCTAAAGCACCTGCTGTTTATTCAGCTCACCCTAAATATTTGTTATAAAAGTCAATAAACAAAAGGATGAATGATTGGAGAGAGTTAATAATGCAAGATCATACTCTACCTCAACAAAGGCCAATCCAAATGCTATTCCAATAACTATAATAAGATATTTTTTGAAAATCTGTTTTATAGCAGGAGCACATGCCTGTTAAAAAAAATGAAAAGTTACTTTTAATGAAATGTTGACTTTATTATCATTTAAAAATTTATTGCATTGGTGGACTGTCTAAATAACTACCAAGGAACGTAAGCCCCAAAGGAATTCAATTGTATCTTCCATGGCTCTCCAGCCCCAGCCCCACACATTTGAACTACTGTGATAACTTTCAAACCTTAAAAATCAGTTGAAGAGCAACAGTTTTGTTGCAGCTAATGAACTGTAGGATTTATGGGTCTTTCATTATAAATGATGATTTTATCTTGACATTGGATTATTCATCTTTGAGTTGAAATTGCCTAATGCTTTTATTTCTTTGATTTATAAACTGCACAGCAAGCTTCCAGATTGAAATGTTTAGGTAATACTGGTGCAAATTTCCATTTTTAAAATAAAAGGTCTTAAAAATTCCTTAATAATATTTACCAGTTATAAGTTTCTTAAAAAGGAATACAAAATCGTTAAGTCTTTATAAGGTTTCCAAATAGATTTGGCCTACAGCATGCATTTCAGAAAAGACTAGTATAAAGACTCAGCACACCCTTGACAATTATAAACTTCTGTACAATAGCCCATCATCCAGGATAGAGTGGAGAAATCTACTCTTGCAGCCCCCCTGGATAGTTCCAGCACCCCACCCCACTCCAGGGATGGTATCATTCACTTTAAAGAGCACTGCTCTGGATAGAAGAGCAAATTTAGAAATTTGCCTCTCTGTACACTTTTTGAAATGTATTCAAATCAGCATGAACTTCCAATCTTAAAACATTTTAGATCCATTCTAAAAATTCCAATATACATTTCAAGGATAATTACAAAATGGGGCCATGATTCCGAATGTAATGATGGTATGACCTGTATTGTCAAAAACTACACCATTTCTGGTAAGAGCCCCCAATAAAATGATTTATATTAAAAAATACACCACCCCATGCTAAACATATGTGTGCAAAAGGACATTTGTTAAATTAAAAAAAGAACAAGTTCTTCATAGGGATGCTGAGCTAGACAGTCTTCACCCCTTGATCCATGGATATAATGGATTTCCCCATTCACAACTTTTCTAGAGCGTTAAACATTAGAGGAAACCACGGTGTACTGGGGATTACCTATGAGAGTCATGATTATATCTTCTGAGTACTCATTCAGTCTAAGGCTTTACTCCACCCCATTGTCAGCCCACTCATCCGACTTGGCAAAAGAGAGGGGTGGAAAATATAAAATGTGAATTATGGTTATTCCAGAATTCTTATTTTTCCAAATATCTTGCAAATAACACAAGATACACAGAAATATTTTATGAATTTAAGATCTTTTCCTGGGACACTGGGACAGCTCTCAGCCTACAGTCAGTTAAGCTAGTAGTCTACAGCTTCGAGGACATATCTATTACTTTTATAGATTGTGTTGGTTGCTTTTCAAAGTCTATCTGGAGGGGAAACATCTTAAGGTTGAATCTTTTACAGAATACTAATAGCTATCTGTAATTTAATTTACTAATTTCCTCATTAGCCTAACTAAAACCTAATTTAGTTATACTTATTTATTTCCCTATTCTTTGTGGATAGCATGTCACTAAAATTAGTTATGGAGCAGAGAAGCTGGAATACATATAAAAGTATAAAAATGTCTAATTTTATTACTTTGGCAATGAAATATCCTAATAAGGTCACAGTCTGGTAGATAATGTCTCCCCCATGAGTTACTGTAAATATTAGTGGCATAAATTACTCTTCAGAGCAGAGCTGCTCACATTTTGATAAGAGTTTTGAAAGGGATGTGAACAGTCAGGAGGAAGAAAGTTTCCCTTGAAACCCTCTCTCCTTCCTTTTATATAGTAATCTCACTAGACATCCATAAACTAAAACATTGCAAGCTTGAAAATAACTTCCAGCGATTACAGCAATTTGTATTTCATGAATTATAATAACTTTTAGGTGTCTCTCTCAACAGGGTTACCAAAGTTCTGAATCTTGTCACATTCTTGCAAGGCTCTGTTTGGCACAAGAATGAAATAAAGGAATTAGACATTTTTGAGGAAAGTAGCTTATGTGAAGACTGGAGTAAGGAACAGAGGTCATGACCTCAGGGAGAATAGTTAGAAGGACTCCCATAACTGACCCTTCTCTGAGTTTATTAGCTGCCCATTGGACTGAAGTTGCTTAAAAATTATAGCACCGTCCTCCTTGTTAGAGTACCAGCTTTGCTGTGTGAAAGCAAAGCACTGTGTCCTGTTCAGAGATGGATCTCTGTTCTTTAGTGCCCAGTAAAAGGCATACAGGAGGTAATCAATAAATATTTGGCACATTAATAACTAATAGAAATATGACATTGACATTGAAAAGATTACTCTAAATTTATAACATAAAAAATGCAAGTGTGTGGGTTTGTTTTTTCCCCCCAATTGTTTTAAATGTCAGGCTTAACTTCTCCATGGGGCAATGACTATGCATTGTCAGCTACCCTGAATATTCACAACCTCAATCTTTGAAGGCCAAATCCTATCTTTAGACTGATGCAATTAGTTAGAAAATGAACCTTCAATTAAAAAAGAACTTAGGGTTTAAAAATTAAAGCACACATGTTGGTTAAACAAAGAACTTAGGATAAAATCGAAGAAACGAGAAAAACGATGACGAGAGAATCCAGAGAAGAGAAAATAAGTCACATATCACACGTTCTGGCTGTTTCCCACGACAAGTCACGTATGTGACCCGATAAGTCACATATCACACGTTCTGGCTGTTTCCCACGACAAGTCACTTATGTGACCC